CCCGCTCGGGCTGCGGTCATAGCGGGGCTGGGACCCCACCAGGGAACGGGACACGGACCCGCTCGGGCCGGGGGAGTCGGGGCTGTCACGGGGCACAGGCACAGGTGGAGTGGCGGTGCCTCTGATGCTCTGTGAGCCCGAGCAGCTGCCAGTCTGTCCCTGTCACGGCGTGTCCATCGGGCATCCCCTGAGCACTCCTGGTCCAGGAGCTGGCACTGATCTTGCCGCGGGTCAGGCACAGGCTTATCCCAGCTCTGCCTTCAGCTCTCCATGCTCTCCGAACTCACGGAATTTCAAACAGTTACTTTTTACCCCCCAATCAATAAGGTGCAGCTCTTCCGACAGCACCTGCCAGGTTAGACCTGGCCCTCTCCTTCCTCTCCCCCCATTGCTCTGCAACTCACTCTCTCCAGTGGTAAAACCCATGTTTTCAGAAGCCCAGCTGAATTATTTAATCTTTATTTCCAGATGGGGAAGGTCCTGCCTGGGATGGAAACAGCTACAAAAGAGGAAATTTCAAAATGCCAAAACCAGGCCCTGCCATTTGAGTCAAAGCAGGGAAAGACTTGGGCTGTTGAAGGTTTTATTGTCATGTGCTCCCCGATACACACGCAGCATCAGGAGTGACAGACAGAGCAATGAGCTGGGAAGAAAGGACATCCAAAGGTCCAAGGATTATCTGCACTGGGGGCTGGACACCTCTGCTGAGCCATTGCCACCCTTATTTCCTCTGAGGGACCCCACAGGGGCACCGGGATGTTGCCAGAACTGGATCTTTGGGGCCCCAATCACTTCACAGCATTAAATGGGTGGGTCCTGGGGATTCCTTAGAGGGGGGCAGCAATTGCATGTGAAACTGTAATAGCCCACCGAGAAATGAGAGAAAACTGTGATAAAACCCTGTCATCTTTTTGAAGAATACAAATCAATCATTTCTCTACAGCAGTTTAGTAGCTTAACTTTCCGTTCTGTCCCTACAACACAGCATCTAATTCCATCTCTGGATTTGATCTTGGCAAAAAGAAGAGTCACCTGCTCTTGGTGTAAATATTTAGTACATAAAATATTGTCAAGAAATCCACTTTTTTAATAAATATTTGTAGCTCTCACTCCCCTTTACAAGTCCTTTACAGCAATGGGCTGGAGGGAGCGTGGCTGGTGGGGCTGAGACAAGGTGGGGGATTGGCATAAATTAATGATTGCAGTCGGATGTGCCGTACTCGAGGAGGTTTGGAGGTGAACCACGGTGGAAAGAAACATCTCTCAGGCCTTGAAATCCATGCTTCCTGTCAGGAAAAAAATCCTCTCCTTGAAGTCTTGGCAGCACCTGTTCTGCCTCTGGGTGCTGGTTCAGCACAGACGTGGGGAGCAGCTGGGAACCCCTTTGGCCTGGGACCAGGACAGCACTTGCAGTATCTACAGGGTTTCCCTATTTCAAAATCCAGCATCGCACTGATGATGCCCCAAACCCCCCAAACCTGTTGTGCCAACAGTTTAATTCCTACGCAAATGAAACCCCTCCTTTTATGCTACTGCTGCTTTAAACACCGGCCCCTTGGAAATGTCCACGGGGCAGAACAACACAGGTAAACAGTTGTGTGACAGCACAAAATTCTAATGATAACCCTGATTTCCTGCCCTGTCCAGGATTTACCCAACGGCTGCAAAGGTGCTTGTGCAACATCCCTGTCCAGGGGTAGATGAGCCAAACAAGTCCTGAGGGCTCCCTTGGTCCGTGGCAAAGGTGTTTTATCAGGTGTTGCTGTCTGGGCCTGCCTGCAGTGGGGCATTTCCTCCAGGTGAGTGTTTGGAACCCAAAATCATGGGGGAGAGTGAGGTCAGGGCCACCTTTGGGCCCAGGCTGGATGGAGCCCTCAGCGACTCCTACTCCCTGCCAGGAATCTTGCTTGGGTTTCATCCGTGCATCCCAGCTGGGCAGGGAACACGGGGCAGGAGGAGGCCGGAGCAACAGAAAGTGAACCAGCACTTCTTGTCCTTTGTATTTCCAGGGGACGAGCTGTGCCCTGCAGTGTCCTGCCTGGGGCACACAGTGCACTCCGGAGTGTTCAGAGTTCAGGGAATTCCCCCTGGAGCGCACAACAAAGCCCCTTTTCCATGGCTATCTCCACAAGCCTTCCCCTTCATCGATCCACAGGGCCGGCCCTTGGAGACCATCGCTTCCCAAGGTGATCCTCGCTGTTCCCAGAGGCCCTGGCTGGTGCAGGAGCCCCTGCTGCCATGTTCTCCGCTGGCACCGGAGGCAGAGCCCTGCGAGGGCTGAGGCTGCTGCTGTTGGCAGGGGCCTGGTGCAGCAAAGCCAAGAGGCGGGAAGTCTTCCCAGCCGGAGGAGCTCTCCGGTGTGGAACACCGGTGCCTTTGGGCTCGGGGCTGGAGGGTGGGATGTGCCACTCAGCCTCCTCTGTTGCCGGAGGTGGCCGGCCCAGGGAACTGCTCCTGGGCAGGAGCTGAGCCCGGGGGGGCACCGCAGGGGTGGGCACCGGCGGAGCCCTCAGCAGGTTGCCCGGATCCAACGCTGTGTGCCCCTCGGTCCCGGCAGCTCTGGGAGGTGGGAAGGTGCTGCTGCGCTGCCCGCAGGATTCACAGCACAGCTTGTGGTATCCAGGGATGGAGCAGTACCGGGCCAGCACTTCCATCTGGCAGAAGATGGATTTGTCTCCCAGGCAGGGCTCGTCTGCAAAACAAACATCCTGGGGATGGGAACCCAGCCATCGGCACTGGGATGCCCTGGCAGAACTCAGATGGGCATAGATAAAGGTCTGCCCGCGGCTCCTCAGCCATGGGTGGCTCTGAACAGGCACCCCCGGAGAAGACTCCACAAACACTCCAAAAATACCCCCAAAAAACAGGTGGCACTTGGAAATGTGGGCATGTTGTGTTTGCGAGGAACTCAGACAGCAATTCTCAGTGCCAAACCTCCTAGAGTTCCCACACACCAGCCAGGTGCATCCTACCCACCCCAAATCCCTGCCTTTCCAGCCTGAAGACATCATCCAGCAGCAGCATTAAAGCCAAGGGAACCTTCACTCACAAAAATTAAATCCCAAGCAAGAGCCTTTGGAGATGCCTTAAAATAAAAGATTATCGTTGCATAAAGTTCTGTTTGGATGAAGTCCAGAGTTTTCCAGGGACCAAATGGAACTGCAGAACTAATGGATAGTGTTACCAGATGGGGCAGACCTGAGGTGCCCTGAAAGCAGGCATGTGCATCCCCTTCCTTGGGGAGAAGAACTTCCAGAGGCCACTCCCCAGGCTCTGAAATTAAATCAGCTTCCTGCATGAAGTACCGTCCTCACCTGTGCACAGGTGCTGCCTCATCATGTGCCAGGAGCGGGTCCAGCCACCCCCTTCTCCTGATTTAAAATACCAACTGGAGCCTGACCTCAGGGGGGGTGAAAATCAGCTGAATTCCAGGGAAGTCAGTACAAGTTCCCCACAGGGACGTCAGTGGGACTGGGGGACAAGGGTTATAATTAGCAGATTCTGTGGTATATAAACCTGTCCTCGTCCTGATCCCAATGAGCTTCCTTGGATCCTCTGCCGGTTCGTGCCAAACCCAGCATTAAAGCAGCAGCTCTGCAGGGGAATATCCGTGCTCCATGAGGCACTGTGAGGCTATTGCAGCAGGCATTCAGCATGGAATTATGGGCTACAGGTGTAATTCCTCTAAACTAGCAAAGCTGGTACGGAACCCCAAATCTTGGCACCACATAGAAAGCAAAGTTTTTCCTGCTGCTGTGTTAGCGAAAGCCCCCGGGCTGGGAAATTTTGGCATGTGTGGAATTCTATAAATCACAGCAACCAGCCATCAGCCCAAAACAACAAACCAAGTCCCAAACAATTCCTTTTGCCTTTCCATAGTGACAGTGACCCTTACTTGGTCCTGTTCTCCCAGGGTTCATTTTGGGGTATTGGTTTACAGTGGTTTATATTCCATGACTCTGCCCACAGTGCTGACATTTGGGGTTGTGCTTTTCTACTTCCAGCAGATTCCCAAACAAGTCATACACTCACATAATCCCTTTTTTTTACTTTTTAGGTGAATTCTGCACAACTCAGGCCCCCATTTCCTATCCTGGCCAGGCTGGTGGGCAGCAGTTGGATCCGTTCTGCAAGAAAACACCCTGTACCTGCCATGAGCTCTGGCTGTTTTTCCTACCGGCTCCTGATCAGTGTCAGGGCCACTGTGAGGGAGTTAAAATCCAGATAAACCCCAAATCCTACGGAGTGAATAATCCAAAGGAAGAAATGTCTTGTTGTACTAAAAAGCTTAAAAATCTGCTAAAAATTCTATGAGAACAATATAATGAGATTCCCTGGAACCTTATTAATGCTCTTGGTTCCATTTCTTATGTATTTTTATTCCCTCGATCGGCAGCTTGTAGAACTTATCCTGGGATTTAGAGGTCGAGAAGGGTTAGCTGTGGATGGACTGGCCCCAATTAGTGCAAGCACAACGTGGGCCAACGCGGTTAAACGCTGTTTGTGCACGTGCACAGGAGAGACCCCAGTGCAGGGAAGCACCGACCACCTGGAGCTGTGACATCCAGAACGTGCCGCACCGAACACAGCAAAAAAGTTGGATTCTGTGCCTGACCCCACGCCCAGCACTGTGCTCTGCAGGCAGGAACTGTCCCCCTCCCCTGCAGCCCTTCCAGCCATTCTCTTACCGTCACAGGGAGCGAGCTGGCAGACCCTCACGGACTCGGGCCGTTCCCCGTCGCAGCGGTCCCCAGCACGGCACAGGACCTGCCGGCTCTCAGTCCCCTCCCCGCAGGTCACCGAGCACTGCCAGACACAGAGGGGACAGCTTAGGACTGACCACACTGATGAACCAAGCAAGGTCTTCCCTCCAGAGCAGTCATTGTACCTTACAGAGCAACTCAAGTTTTACTCGAAAATTTTCCCTACCTGTCTACTACTGATTACCTCATTTTGACCTCACAGTGTTCATTCTCTGCCCTGGAGATTACCTCAAATTTAACCCCTAAATTTTTTCATAAATGTCCACTACTGATTACCTCACTTTTCTCTCAAAATATTAATTTTCTACCATGTAATTACCTCAACTGTAACCCTAAACATTTCTCTACCTGTGCACTACTGATTGTCTCAGTTTAGCTCACCATAATCTTTCTGTGTGCTATAGACTACCTCAAGTTTACTTCAAGAGTTATCCCTTCTAATGATTACTTCATTTTTACCTCAAAATATTCGTTTTCTACACTGGAGATTACATCAAGTGTTTCCCCTCCCCGGAACTCCCTATCTGTCCATGACTTACTGCCTCAGTTTACCTCAACTTCTCTCCTCTCAGATGTCCCTTCTCTCCCCTAGAGATCACCTCAGATTTTCACGCCAAAAATTTTCCCCTCATTTTTACCTCGAAATATTAATTCCCTACTCTTAAATTATTTCAGGTTTTATCCCCCAAAATTTCCCTAACTGTCCACTCCTGATTACTTAATTTTTACCTTAAAATATTTATTTTCTACTCTGGAGATTACCTCAAATTCTACCCCTCAGAATTTCCTGACATGTGTGTTCACAACTGATTGCCTGAGTTTACTTCAAGATGTTCATCCTCACCCTAGAGAACACCTCAGATTTTAGCCCCAGAAGTTTCCCTACCTGTGCAGTACTGATTGCCTCAGTTTACCTCAAAATGTTCCTTCTCTGCACTATACACTATCTCAAGTTCACTCTAAAAATTTTCCCTCCCGGTCCACTACTCATTACCTCATTTTTACCTCAAAATGTTCAGTCTTTTACCTACAGATTAACTCAGGGTTTATGTTCAAAATGTACACTTTGTCCCCTATATATTACCAAGATGTTAAAACCACATCATAAACCACACAGATTACCTCTATCTTGTCCCCAAAATGTTTATTCTTCCTCTACAGATTATATAAGATTTTTTTGCTCCACAATACTTATTGTCCCTTAGACATTATCTCAGGTTTTGCCCTCCAAACTTTCCGTACATGTCCACTACTAATTACCTCATTTTTACCTCAAAATGTTCATTCTCTGCCCTACAGATTATTTCAAGTTTTACCCTGAGAAATATCCCTCTCTCTTCATGACTGACTGCCTCAGTTTACCTCAGTATATTCATTGTCTCCCCTAGAGATTACTGAGCACTGCCAGACACAGAGGGGCAGTTCAGCACATTCTGTGTCACAGCACTGCGCACAGATCCTGTGTCCCAGCCAGCCCCTGGCACCGCTGCCCACCTGGGACCAGGGTCCGGTTTTCCACGGGGCAGGACACGGTGCCCGGTTGCAGGAGCGGCGGCTCTCAGGGCGATCCCCGCTGCAGAACTTGGCATGGACGGAGCGGTTGGTGCCGTCGGGAAGAGGCTGGATGCAGCGCACCGTGCGTAGCTGGTAGCCAGAATTCCCACAGGTTTTGGTGCAGTGTTCCCACTCGTCTGCTGCCCAGCTAAAAGGAAAATGGAGTCAGATACCATCACACCTATTGTCCAGCTGTGTCTGCCCCATCCCTGGAAGTGTCCAAAGCCAGGCTGGATGGCGCTTGGAGCAACTCGGTCTAGCAGAAGGTGCCCCTGGCAATGGCAGGGAGGTGGAATGAGTTTTAAGGTCCCTTTCAACCCAAACCATTCCAAGGTTTTATGATCTATATGCATATATATGTGTGTGTATTTATATATATTTAAAATCTACTATAACCACCCATTCAGATCAGTACCCATATTTGCACAGGTAGAAATTCCCCTATATATGCAGGAGCTCCAGGCTGGAAAGCTATCAGCATCCCACCAGACTGATCCCACCCAACACAGCTGGAGCAATCCCAGCTCTCTGTGCCTGGCTGCACTCACAGGGGCTCCGTGCACTCCTGCAGGTTGCACATCCTACGGATGGGCTTTGGCTTTTTGCTGCCTTCACAGAAGCTGCGATGGACCATCTTGTTGTCACTCTTCCTGCGGCACCCGTATTTGGTGTACTGGAACCCTGGGAAACGTGTCAGAGAAATCAGAGAAACCACGTCCTTGTTAGAATGTTTGCTTAAATAGGATTTTCCTGGCCTGTTAAATGGCTTCACAAGACAATATATTTTGGAGTTTGCATTGCCCATTCTTTGCCTAAGAGCCATGGACACACCATGAATACAGGGAATGCTCAGGAGCATCAGTGTCCTCGTCTGGACTTCCAAAGTGGCTTTGGGGGCTGAATTTAAACATCTAAAAAGGCCTTTTCCTTCCTAAGCTGGAAGTGTGACACTTGGGAACAATCAGGCACTTCAGGTATTTAATAGCTTGGGTTGCTGTTAAAAAAAGAAGGCCAAGAATCCTAAATCATTCCCTGCCCTCAATTTTTTTTTGTGATTTGTCCCTTGTTACAGGTGCCCCATTCCCCGCTCACCTCCACCACAGGGTTTGGAGCACTGGGACCAGCTCTTCAAGGCCCACTCGAAGGTGTCCGTGTCCTCCCGCAGCACGTTGTTGCTGTGGATGGTCGGCACCGAATCCTCGTGGATGATGTATCTGTAAGTCAGGCTGGATCTGGTGTCGTTCTCCCGAGGAATGATCTATGAATAACCAAACATAAACCCAGAGCTGTTACTGACTGCTCTGCAAAGTAAAGACACCTTAAGACCCTTTCAGACCCCAAGCCCTGTGTTCCCAGGGCTCAATGCGTCACCCACCAGCACTACCACGGTGTCGTGCAGGGGCCCGTCCGTGTGCAGCGTTTCGATGTCGTCCTCGATGCTGTATTCCCACTGCACGCCCAGGTCGATGAAGGATCGGGATCTGGCCTCCTCCCCTTTCCCGTTCAGGATATAGTGTCCTGTAGCCTGGTTCTTGATTGCTGGGAGAAGCGAGAGCAGAGCCTGTTGTGCCTCTGTCACAGCAACTGGGGTGGCACGGGCAGGGGTATTTCCATCAAGTTGTGAAAATACCAGACTTTCATCCCAGTTTAGTTTCCTCTATGCACACAGGTGCGTCCCCGATGCTAAAATCCCTAAGCAAAGAACTGAGGAAGTGGAGCCTGCGTTTGGGTTCCTGCAGCACACCTCAGCAGCCAGCTACAGTGGGGATTACTGTGATGATGATTAGGAGCCAATTCATTAGCAAGATGGATCACAGAATGGCTTGAATTGAAAGGGACCTTAAAGATCACCCTGTTCACACACCCATTTAAAGACGGACTCCCATTCTTCCATATAACTTCTTCCAACACACCATAATAATAATTAAAGATACTGAATTTGATTCACCCCAGCAGTGCTCATTTCCACGTGAGTGATGACAATCTTTGGTTAGCAAACATGCAAACTCGGATCAGTTTAATATTTTGGAAGATTTAAATGAGCAGTAGGTGTTTGTATGCTGAGGTGTGGGACTGCAGGACTCAGCCCTGACCATGCCATTTGGAAAGCCCACATTTAACCAAGCCCTTCTCTGGGTTCTCTCATCCCTCAGGTTCACTGTCAGGAGCACCCTGTGCTTCATGAGGCTTAAACCAAACCTGAGCAGAGAAACACTTACCAAGGAAGTGAGGAGAGGCCTCGTCTTCTTGGATAAACACATGTCGAGCCCCAGGAGGGATATCAAACATCTTAAGGTACCCTTTGGCACGTGCAGGGTCAGTGGAGGCAGCAGGGATGGAAAGAGAAAGGAACAGCCATGGTCAGGAGCGCAGGGCATGGCCCAGCTCTGCTTGCAGGAGAGGGATCCACCAGCAACTGAAGAGCAGGGCCGGGAGACACGGAGCCAATCGGTTTGGAACGTGTGGGACAGGCCCTCCCTGGGCTCTTCTCTTCCAGAGAGAGAAGAGACACCAGTTACAGAACAATTTGCCACTTCCCAGCTAGGATCAGATTATTATTTACAGCCGTGCTTCTACAGGCTGGATCTATCCGCAAGTCAGGTAAAAAGATGTTTCCCGTGTTCCTCGGCACATGAGGGCACAAACACAAATATTCCTCATAATTTTCCCAAGTTACTCCTCAGCCAGGCTGCTGGGTTAGAAGCCCTTGCACTGACCCAGTGTGTTTTCAGCCATTTTGTCCACGACAGGGAAACACTGCAAGTTCCTCTGGGCAAGGGAAGGGATCCTCTGCTCTTCCCTTAAACAGAATGCTTGGAATCAGTGCCCTGGGAGACCAGTCCAGTCATTCCAGTGACTGGGGGTCACTTTACCAGTAAAAAATATAATTTACATCGTGATCAAATGCATTTACAGCACATCTGGACATATCTGGCCAAGGTGACCAGTCAGTGGAAGTCGGACTACTGACAGTCCATGGGGAAATTTTAAGTTGCATACTTGCAGATTTCATTTTCCAGAAACTCCAATTTTTTTTGGCACTTCTTGCTTAAATATTTCCCTGTTGGAAGAGGTCAATTAAGTCTTTTTAATGACCAGATTGCCAAAGTTAGGGAAAAGCAACCAGCATTCCCTGAACACCTCCATCACTTCCACATCCACCCGTAGTCAGTCCATCCACCCGATGGACAGCAGCCTGCCCTGACTGGGCTCAGGGGGTGGTGTTAAGCCCATTACTGTCAAAGTTTGAATGATTCTGGCATTATCCCATGTCCGTGAGTGTGACACAGACCCCAGGGCCCACAGGAACTCCAGCCAGTTGCAGGCAGATGTTATTCCTACCGAGCTTTTTGGGGGTGCGGGTGAAGGTCCCCTTCACAGTCCGGCAGTGGGAGTCGTCCCCGCCACAGACCCCACACTGATCCTCGGCCTTGTTGGAGCCAATTTCCTTGTCACAGCCCACTTTCTGCAGAAAAAAAGAGAAAGACTGGGCATTAGAAGGGAATCCTTCCCTGTGAGGGTGGGGAGGCCCTGGCACAGGTTGCCCAGAGAAGCTGTGGCTGCCCCATCTCTGGAAATGTCCAAGGGCAGCTTGGACGGGGCTTGGAGCAAACTGGGCTAGTGGAAGGTGTCTCTGCCCATGACAGGGGGAGGCATTGGATGGGCTTTAAGGTCCCTTCACACCCAAACCAGTCTGGGATTCCATAATACAAAACAATCAGTGGAAGAGAAGTGGAGCATTTCCATTGGACTGTCTGTGCTGTTCTCTAATTTAATTTAAATCTCCAGGAATTATGAGGAATGCGATGCTGCAAATAGGGAATTTAGAGAGAGATGCGAAGCCTCTCTCTGCCCTTGAGTTGTTCCCATTTGTTATCCCTGGGGCAGCTGCCACTCACCACACATTCCCCACGGACACAGATGCTGTAGGGATCCTTGTAGGAGCAGCGAGTCCCGTCATGCACCAGCTGCTTCATGTGAGCCACATCCCCGGTTTCCCTGGACTGGCAGTACAGGTGACATCTCTTGGGAGCTGTGGAGCCAAGGAAGAGAAGGAACTGCATGGATGGACAGTGCTCCAGGTGTGCTCCTGAAAAATCTCCCGCTGACAGAGCAAGGAGTGAGAAAGGATAGGTAGGTCTGGGAATGGGGACAGGCGGAGCGGTGGGACAGGGTGGTTTGGGGAGGAACAAATAAACTGTGGGGAATCTGGGGGAGAATGGGGAAGTTCGGATGGGATGGAGAGGTCTGGGGAAGAAACCCAGGGATTTAGGGCAAAACTGGTGGTCTATTTTAGACATAAATGGGCAATTCTGGAATCATAAAGGTGAATTTTAGGGATAAACTGGGGGATTTGGGGGTAAAACTGGGGATTTGAGGGTAAAATTGGAAATTAGGACAATCTTAGTGATTTTGGACATAAATCTGCAATTTTGGGGGAAAAAGGTCAATTTTGGGAATAAAAGGGCATGTTTGGGGGAAAATGGGAGATTTAAAAGTAAAAAGGGTACATTTGGGTTAGAGGGGAATTGGAGGTTAAAATCAGGGATTTAGGGCAAATCCAGTTATTTTTAGACATAATTGAGGAACTTAAGAGTCAAAAGTGTCAATTTTAAGGATAAATGGGCAATTCTGTATGGGAACTAATTAATTTGGGTTTAAAGTTGAAAATCTGTGTCAGAACAGGGAATCTGGGGGTTAAAATCTGGGCTTTAGGGCCACACTAGTGATTTTCAGAAAAAACAGAGAGGGGATAGGGGGAGAGACCAACTAATTAGTTTTTTGGGAGTTCCGGGCCTGTCCCTGAGATATCCAAGGCCAAGGGGAATGGCTTCAAACCCTTTGAAGTGGCACTAAAGGCCCAGGGCAGGACGTACGGTCGGGGTGCTCGTAGGGCAGCCAGTGGTGCCGGTTGCCCCGGAACTCCAGGTGGGAATTGCGCTGCTGGCACTGCTGCGCCCTGAAGTCCTCAAAGTGCTTCGGACACTCCTCGGTGCTGCACAGCTGGAACTCAAAATTGACCCCGGCGCAGTCGTCACCTCCATTGATGGGCCTGTGAGGAGAAAACATGCCAGAGATTCTCATTAGGGAGAAATTCTTCCTTGTGAGGGGAAGTAAGGCTCTACTGAAGTGAAATCTGAATTATGGACTCCTCATCTTTTAGAAAATCAGGTTTATTTTCAGGTATTTTAAGCCTGGCTCCTGAAATAACTATTCAGGTTAAAATTGTAGCCTTTCCCATAGTTCCTTGGAGAGTAAGACTCCATATCCATTTATCCAGGCCCCACAGTTCCACTGGGGTCCTGAGCACCCTGGGGGGCTTGGTACTCTCTCTGACAATTTCCACAGTGACTAATACATATTATTTACAACATCTCTCTCTGCATGATGCGTGCATCCACTTCTATTACATTCCAAGGCTTGCTTCCCATTTAATTCTTTACAGAACCTCAAACCCCCAGAAATGTGTCATATGAAAAAAAAAAAAAAACAAAAAACAAAACTCCACGTACTCTTAATACAGTCCTGGTGTAGAGTTAATAAAAATTCATGTAATATAGCTCTGCTGTATAAAAGAAAAAAAGTATATAATTATATCTAGTGGAAGGTGTCCCTGTCTAGGGCTGGGATTTGGAACTGGATGAGCTGTAAGGTCCTTTCCAACCCAATCCATTCCATGATTCTGTGGTTTTGTGAAATTCTCTGTTCCTATGCAAATGATCCAATTTCCAGGGTCTTGAGCAGAATCTCCACCCAAGCCCCGAATGCCATCTGAAATGGTCCCTCCCTGGCCCCCCAGGCGGGTGTGACGCGCAGACCTACATTGGGTTGTTGCACTGGCGCGTGCGGAAGCGAACCCCAGTTCCACAGGTCCGGGAGCAGGAGCCAAACTTGGTCCAGGGTCCCCAGTGTCCATCCTGCTTCAGCTGGTTGGTGTTCTTCCACATGCAGTGACCTTTGTAGCACCACTACAGGAATTGGGGCAGGAAACAGGTGAGAACACGCACACAGAGCCCAAATCAAACATATCATCACAGTACAGGAACGTTTTGCTGCTGCCTGAAGCACACTTAGATGGTAAGAACGGACTCTCCGATATCCCAAAATACAGGGAATTTGCTAAAAAAACAGGTATTTGACTATAATTTTATAACTAAAAATGGATTGGAAGCCAGATACCCACTAATGGGGATATTAAAGAGAAAAATCAAGTGCTAACCCTCAGCCTACACAAACATTTACCACATGGCGTCTGGACCACGAGCTCTGAGCAGCCATTCCACAGGAATGGCATCATCTGCCTCCCTGGATTGCTAAAGACACTTGACAGGCACTTTGCAGGTAAGAACCCAAAAACTTATCAAAAGGGTCACAGAATGGGTTACACCTCTGCTGGGGTTTCTATGCCCAAAATGTGCTACAGCAGATCTTGTCCAGCTCGCAGAACATCCCAGTGGGAAAACACAGCTTCCTCTTTTCCCATCCTCTCGCTCAACCCGAGGGAGGCTGAGCGATTCCCTCTGTTTCTCTCTGTGCCCTTTACCTCAGATGAACAACACTGTTGGTCTTTTCCCCCAAGACAAACAGTGCAAAGCCCAGACTCACTTTTCCAGGTGCACATTCCGTGCCGTCGAGGGGAGGTCCTTTCTTGGTCTTGCAGAAATAGGGGTTGTCGGGGTGGCTGCACCACAGCTGCTTGCACGGATCAAAGGTTCGGAACTGAAACCCACAAGAGGCGCGAGATGAAACACAGAACCTGAGGTTATTTACAGTTTTTGTGTTAAGGATCCAACCCGCTCTGTCAATCAATCTCACACACACCAGTGAGTCCAGTATCTTCAGGGCAGTGCTTATTCCCTGCATCCCCCAGTCCTGAGCCAGTGAGAAGAAAGGAGACACCCAGAAGCGGGAGGAAACTGAGGGTTTTTTTCCTTTTCTTCCCTAGGATCGCTCCCACCAATCTGTGCCACGTGGACTGTGCTGCCAGCCACTTGTCCATTATCCCATGGGTTTCCCCCATAAATATCCCTCTGTTCTTCACAGCTCTGTTTAAATACTCCATTAAGTGCCCTGCAGTGATTATTCCTCAGTTCTGACACACTGCAGCTCCCCAGTCAGGCCAGGCCCCCCAGGGACGTACCGCTGTGCACATCCTGTAGCCCACACCGAAGTCGAAGCGGCACTGCTCGTCCATGGAATAGTTGATGCCTGGCAGCTCAGGCAGCTTGGGCCAGTCGTGCTCGAAAGGGTCGTCAAGCAGACAGTCGTAAGAGCTGTGGGAAGAGACAAAGAAAAAAACAGCAGGAGCAAATGTCTATTCCTAATTCCTGTCCCGTCCTAGGAAGTGTCCAAGGTCAGGTTGGACGGGGCTTGGAGCAACCTGGGCTCGTGGAAGGTGTCCCTGCCCATGACAGGGGGTTGGAAGCGTTACGGTCCCTTCCAACTCAAACCATTCTCTGATTCTGTGACAAGCAGAGGCCTATTCCAAATCCCACTGGAATCAGAGGGGTCTTTCCACTGCCATTCCATCCCCAGGAGATGGGCCGCGGGACAGCCCCCCCAGGCACACAGCATTTGAAGGGAAAAAGGGCCCGGAAAAACAGGGATCAGTGCTCGGGTGCAGCGGGAGGCCTTACTGGATGTATCTCCTGAGCTCCTGGCCGCTGCAGCGGGACCAGTGGTAGCGGTGGAAGGCAGCCTGCACCAAGGGGGCCATGACGCTGCCCATCGCCGTCTCGTCCCCGCATCTGTTTCCCTGCCCGTCGTGCTCCATGCCCAGCCTGGAACAAAGAATCCTCTCAGAGCCACTTGCCAGCACGGGCAGCTGGGGAGGAGAAAGAAGTGAAGGACGCACAACCAGCTCCTGTCTCTGCCGGGCCTCCAAGATGCCTTCCTGACCTTTCCCTCACCCCAGAGAAAACAAGTTCCCCCTCTTTCCCCCCTTCCTTTCTTCCACCACTTGTCTCTCCATTGCTTCAAGCACTGCTGCATTCCCAGGGGATGGAAACAGAACCAGGTCAGCTTCCGTAGAGCCATTAAACCCAACCCCCTCAGAGCAAGCAGGAGGTGCAGCACCAGGTTTTGGTGTGATGTGATGGTAAAAGTTACACTTACACGTGCCCGGTCTCATGAGCAACAACAAAGGCTGACGAAAACCCGTCCTCGTGGTTGAGGGTGCAGCTCCGGACTGGGTGGCACATGCCCGTCACAGGAGCGTATCCTATGGAGAGACACCAGGGCTGAGTCTTGTGCCCAGGACATGGATTTTAAATGAGACCCCCCAATAAACTGCCTTTTCCTCAGGAAAAGCTATTGCTCTGAGTCCAGGGCAGCCTGCCCTGATACAACCCACATTTGGGGAATCCTGCCCATTAGCATTAGTTCCCCGAGTCCCAAAGATGGATGCAGGTGTCAAAGTGGTTGGGATGTCTATAAACAGAAATCTACAGTGAAGGATGCAATAAAATAAAGGGAGGTGGAATACCAACTGCATCGAATGTTCCCAGTATCCTTGCACACATAGGAGTCTGGAGAGAGTAAAGAGGTGTTTATGTACAACTCTCAAATAAAAAATTAAACCAACAGTTGGATATAATGGGAAAGGACTCAGGGCAAGGTCTCCTTGCTTTTGAAAAAGTCTGTGGAACAAACAGCAGGAAGTGCTAACAAATGCAATTCCCAATTTTTTCCTCTTTTCTGGCAGACACCAGCCAAGAAACACCGAGCCCAGAGAGCTCTGCTCCAGGTCAGCTGCATTACCTTGCATACCAGCGGGCCCAAAATCTTGCCTGGTTAAGAAGATGGCGTGGTCGTGGTGCTCGGCGTGGCTGGGGTCCGACTTCTGCTGCTGATAGGCCCAGCGGCACACGTTCTCCAGGCTGCGCGAGGGGTTCCCCCGCTCGATCAGGCTGATGGACTGAAGGAGCAACACCTTAGACCCAGCAGCTCCAGCCACGGGCAGGCAATTCACACCAGGGTGGATTTTCTGCCCGGGAGCTGAAGGTGGAGAGCCGGCTCACTGACCTTCGCGTACCCCAACATGATCATTCGCACCAGCACGACGTTGATGTGAACGCCCAGGGACTCGTCGTGGTAAATTTCATTCACCTGAGGGGAAAAGAGGGAAAATTAAAAAGAAAGCAACCCACTGGTGACACCAAAAGAACTTCCAAGGGCCACAGAACTGTTATTTCAATTGCTTGTACCACTACAGTCCTCTCAGAAGAGGGTTCAAGTCTCGGATCGTTTCCACACACTGAGAAATGTAGACTCACTTCCCACCACCACCTCCCCCCTCATATGGAACTTGGGGAAGCGCACGTCAAGGTCCCCTTTAAAGTTTCAGAGCCCAAGGAAAAGGGGATTGGGGAAAAGACTTGGAGTTCAAATGCTGTAAATCACAGAATCCCAGACTGGTTTGAACTGGAGAAGACCTTAAAGCTCATCCTGTTCCACCTTCCACTAGACCAGGTTGCTCCAAGCCCCGTCCAACCTGGCCTGGAACGCTTCCAGTGCTTCTTGTTTGGAAGAATGTTTTTTTTTAGAAAGCAACTAATGCTGCTACCCTACTTTTTCACGATCAATTAGGATTCTGTGGTCACTTCTGTACTAAAAAGAGGCCTTATGGAAGGGAAGTTAGAAAAACAGAATTATGCAGATGGGTCAAAAATTGTCCTTCTTTGAGGCCCTTCCCTGTGTCTGGGAAGGTGAGAAATGTCCTGGCACCAGAGTGTGAAACATCTGCAGGTCCTCAATGAAGCTCCTCATCCCCCTGAAAACAAAATAAATATTATGCTATGGGCAACTGCTGAGAAATAAACACCCCTGTTCAGAGGCCGGTGGGTTTGAGCAGAGTTAGGCGGCTTTTTATTTTTCAGTCTGGCTAAACAGAACTTCCCTCTTCCCCTCACAGGGAAAAAGGTCACTGGGAGGCTTCCAGACTGCGGCATGAGGATTGGAGCCCACGGTTTAAACACGCAATCCCTGGGGCTGAGAGCAGTGTCAGCAGGACAGTGGGACAGGGAATGAGCACAGAGCTCAGGCTGCCTGTCCTGTGAAGCAATCATCCCAGAGGTCAGTTATTCCTCTCCTATTTCCTTCCCTGCATGCAGCAGCATCACTCCCACAAAGGGCTGGGCCAGGAAAAACGTTCACAACTTCCCCTGTGCCAAGAGACAATCAGGGAGTTTCCCAGAGACAGGAGTGACTTCCCTGGAACAAAAAAGGACCCTGCAATTGACCTAAGGTTTTGAGTCTTCAAGATTTCCCCATAACCCCCTTTTATCCCCTTCTCTGGATGGCTTTGGGCAGCAGGGCGTCAGCTCACTCTAGCTCTGGCCCCACAGCTGCTCCCAGCAGATGGAGCCTCAGGCACGTAAAAAACATGGAAGTGGTTTGGGACATGGATCAGCCCTGCTGCTCACAGAGTTATAAAGGTTTCAAAACTAAAAAGACAATATTCTGCAATAATGTGTAATGGAGATGTATTGTTGATGTGCTATGGGGTATGTGGGAAAAAAGAAATTATTCCATGAGTTATGCTGGAAAACATAAATTGGGTTAAATTCATATAGGAATGATTTTCTTCCTCTCAAATTCTAAATTCTCAAATTTAGATTATGTGCAAGCCTAAGCAATCATTTAAAAATAATTCCAGGAACAAAAAGGTGAGTGTAAAACATACAAGAGTCATTCCAATGTCCATCAGGTCATTACTAATGGGAAGCCTATTCCTCATCTCTGTCCTTAGGAGACTGTTTTTCTTTCCTGAAAAGCCTTATGATCCCACAGTTTCTAAGATAGATCTTCTACTTGTATTACCAGGAGGTTTGCTCTGTCAAGAGCCACAGGGGGTTTAGAATGCTTTTTTCTCTACATGTTTATTTTTTAGTCAGGTTTTTCCCTAGAACTGTGCTGCAGGAGGAGCTCAGAATTACTAGAATTGGATAAAGTGTACATTTTTTCCTTACTGTTTTTTAACTATTTCCAAATTCTTGGAACTACCCTCGAATGTGTCATGCCCTAGAAAACTACTGTGAAAAAGTTAAAAGAACGGAACAACCTGAAAAGAGAAATCCATATTCAGTAGCAGCCCAAATGATACTTTTCCCAAACCAGGTGCTCCTACAAAAGCTCCCAACAGCAGCTGCCATTCCCAAACAAGCTGTGGCAGGTACTCACGATGTTCATGAGGGTGAGGAGGTAGTTTTGGACGTGTTCTTTGCCGTGGAATCGGACGACGGAGTCGTCCACCCCCAGCAGCACCTCGATGTTGTGGTCGTCGTCTCCCGCGTGCCGGCGGCGCCGCAGGCTCTCGTTCAGCCGCTGCTCCACCTGGCCGTGCAGGGAACTCAGCGCTCCCAGGAGGGACCCTGCAAGGACAGTCAGGCATCGCTCGAGTCCCAGTCCCTGTCCCGTCCCTGCAAGTGTTCAAGGCCAGGTTGGACGGGGCTTGGAGTAGCCTGTGCCCCTGCGGCTGTTCTGTGTCCCAGTTGGGAGCATCCCCATTCCCCCACTCTTCCCATAAATGCACGGGGATCTCCCTGCTCTGCTAAGCCATCCGAGCAACCAGCATCCAGATGTAGAGGAATGGTCCCGCCTTCCACTCATGGGGTAACAGGCCACTTCCCCCAACAATGGCACAACTTGCAGCCCTTTTCCTCCACGTTGGAATTCATGAATGCCAAGGCTGCGAGTCCACAAAGCGTCCCTTCCCCTGTTTTCAGTGCTCTCAAGAATGCCCACCCTGGGATAGCACACCAGTGGGAAAATCACAGACTAGCTCCACTTCCCAAAGCTGCTGCAGCTAGCCAAGTTGCCAAGCACAGCATCTAAGTGAAACTCAGCTATGAAGGGAAGCAGTGGGTCCCCTCCCTAACTGCTGTGCCCTGTCCAAAAAATACTGGGTAACAGAGCGGTTGATCTGTTCTCTTGTCTGTTTTCCATAACCCAGCACTTCAGTGCCTTGGGGATCAAACACTCAGGACAATCCCAGGTTACACGTGCTGCCAGCAGCTCTGTTTCAGAGGCTGCAGTGTGCATCCATGGCCAAGCACTTAACAGAACACAAGGGATCTAAGCCCAATGAGTCCAACCGTTCCCCAGCACTGCCAAGGCCACCACTGACCCACGTCCCCAAGTGCCACATCCACATGGCTTTTAGATCCCCCCAGGGATGGTGACACCACCACTGCCCTGGGCAGCTGTGCCAGGGCTGGACAGCCCTTTCTCTGAAAGCATTTCCCTTTTGTCCAATCTATACCTCCCCTGGCACAACTTGGGGCTGTTTCCTCTTGTCCAAACATTTGTTACTTGGGAGAAAGACAATACATGAGGCAACAGTGAAGAAACACACAGAACCAGTCTGGCTGTTTGGGGATTTGGGCTAGACAGACTAATCCGTGCTAATCTCATTCTGGAATTAGCTGGCTCGTTATCTCTTCCTTTTTTATTTTGCTGGTCACCTGCATCACTTACATCCGATCGTACCGGCAGGAACAGATCGGCCCGTGCTCTCGTGCCAGGAGAAATGGTTATTCTGGGTTACAGCACATCTTTCCTGGAGTGTAACTGTGGAAGGATGGAACTACAGCTCTTTCCTGCTACTGAATGAAGCCATGATCTGCCCAAATCTAATTCCATCAACGTCATCAGCCAAACCTCTCTGTACCTGAAAAGAACCCTTAGCATTGCTCACATGGGAGGCTCTCACCATCTTATTTTATATTGTAGAACACCTGGGCTGAATTCTATGCTACAAATGACACCATTCCATATATATATATATATATATATACACACACACACACACACACATACCCCCCTTAAATCTATCTCTGTATATATAGTCCTTTTATGTGCTTACTTGCTCAATTGCCTACTTTAGCCTTTTCCTAAATATAGAGCTAGGAAAAGTATCTAGGGAAGATCCACACCTTCACTAATTCAAAATTAAACTAATGAGAAACCAGTTTGGAACCAACTGATATCAATCTAAGTCCCTTGCCAAAGAGTGTGTTAATGTATAGAGTCCCCAAGGACAGACGTGTTCTGCAGCTACTAAAAAATTCCATTCTGCAGTTCCCAAAGTAAGGAAACTAGGCCAGTCCATCCTGTCGCTGCCTCTTGAGGCTTATTTTCAAGTGTGCCTTCTGAAAAACCAGGGAAGAAAAGAAGAATCATAGTTGAAATGCAGATTCCAAGCAGTTCCAACAGAATTCTCACTGATTTCCAGAAGAACTGTGTACATGCAACATTTCTGTGGTGCTGCCGATACTGCACTTCGAGGGATCAGCAGCAGAAACCACCCAGGCCGGCAGGGCTAAGACAGGATGACAGCATGTCCTCATGAGGTTCTGGGATGTGCTGCAACTCGTGTGCTTTGATTTATTGGGTCCTTAGGAAACAAAATTCTGGCAAGTTATGCATTCTGTCTTGTCTTTTCCTACGAGTTGCCTGAAATTGCCTTTTACTCCAGAAGCATCAAATGACTTTGTACTGCTCCCACCGCAGCTTTGTGGCATGAGAGGAATGTGTCCTGGGCTGAGGACCCTGCCCTAAGCCCCTTCCCATGGGGAGCACCAAGGCTGAGACCTGCAGTCTCGACGCTGGATGCAGGGCCTTAATATTGTCAGTGTCTCTGGAGAAGAGTTTGTTTGCTTAACTGCTGCCAAAACTTCTGCTTGTTCGTTTTTGGGGGCTGGAGAACAAAGGGTTTGTGTCCGCAGTGACCCCAACCACGCCAGCTGGCCATAAAAATACATAGTTTTACTCCATGTTTCACTGTACGTCCAAGGCTGTATCCGTGAAGCGCTTCCAGAAGCCCCTGCAGGGCATCTCTCTGGAATATTTCACAATAAATAAATACTATCTCTGAAATTTTGATAACACACAGCAAGCCAGCTGTGCTGCTGCAGATACACGGTGCAGTGACACAGAGGAGAACATCGGATGTAACATCCCCCTCAAGGCACATGGAACAACTACTTGAGCATTAGCAAAAACCAACCAAACAAAGAAAACAACCCAGGACAAATCTCTTGCCACAGAACCCCAAAATCCTTGAGGTTAAAATAGGCCCTTCAGATCATCAAGTCCAGTCATTCATCCATCACTGCCAGGTCTCCATCAGCTGGATGCTGCCCACCTCGTGGGGGCATGGAAGTGCAGCTGCACCTGCCAGGGTCTCAGGATGTGGCAGACAGTTTGATGGTGGTGTCACCCCTCGAAAAGGTACCTCGGTGACAGAGGACGGCAAAGACACTAAAGCACTTCCTAATGGAAACTAAAATGCAAGCAACTGCCAACTTTAGACACTGCCAACTTCACCACACTGAGGAATGAAGAGAGAAAAAGTTCTTGTGACTTCATAAGTAGCCCGGGTATCTCTCACCTTCCTGAGATCATTAAGCTTGGAGAATTACCTCAGCTTAAGTTCTCCTCCACCCTTGGGAGTGACAGTGACTGGCAGATTTACAAACAAACAGGGATTAGAGGAAGGTCTGAGGCTTGGGGCTCTGCGGGATTAGTTGTGAAATGCACAACCTCCACGGGCCACAAACACAGACCCCCATCTCACTTTGTTCTCAGACTTCAAAGAGAAAACAAAACATTTTGAAGTGCTGACTGCTTCCATGAGATATGTGCTTCTCTGGTACCATTCAGCTGCAGAACGATTCTGGGAAGGATGGAAGATTTCCTGTACTATATTCCTTGCTCTGACATCACGGGAAGGCTCCTCCCTTCCACGCGCTGTCAGCAAAACCAGCTCTGAGCACTCACTTACACGAGGGCTCGATGCCAGGGCACACTCAGGGAGCCACGTAGAAAGGCATCATCCTCTATGTATTTGAACTATGCTTGGAGCCATCTCTAAAGGATAAACTTTTCCAATGGAAATGGCTGGGATTTTACCCCATAATTTTCTTGTCATCATTTGCCTACCTGGCATGAGGCTTTCTAGGACTGCAGGTTATCCATACCTGGCAGCAAACACACACAGAACATAGCCAGAACTTAGGGAAACTATAATTAAATATGCCTGAATTTAGGTCAGCTATTAACTGTTCTTTTTCCATCCCATGACCAGAAACTGGGAATGCAAAAGGAAAGGAATGTCAGCCTGTTCCAGAGTTCTCAGTGCTGCAAAACACGCCTGACACACTACCTGGACAGTCTGCAACAGCTCTGCACTTACCTGATTCACGGTGAAAGTGCTTTTAGACCTGTGGAAATCTAACAGTGATGGTGCTGGCAGTGGAAATGCCGCTGTGAGGTCCTAACGTGCAATCAAAAGACGAGGAAAAAGGCTCAGGATCAAACCGAGCCCGTTTGGAATAAGGGCTATTGCTCTCTAAAAATGAAAAGCTGAGGGAAGACACTCTGAGAAGCCAAGGAGGAGAAGCCCCAGAGCGAGAGCCCAGAGCCTGCTCTCTGCACAGCCCATGGACACAGCACCAGCTCGCCTGGACACCGCTAATACCCGATCACAGCTCCGCGCTGGCTTAACACGGCCTCGCCACTTGGCCGGCCTTGCCCTGGCTCATCTGCTCTGCACCTTATTTATAGCTGGCTTTTAGCCCTAACAGCCAACTCAGTCAAGAGACAGTTACCCTAAAACTAGAAACCACGGTTCCTACAATTGCTGCTTTCCTAGTAGCAGAAAATCCTCCCCTTTCACGTTTCTTTCATTATTTCTCTCTCTCTATATATAGCAAGAATTCCATCATAGTTTTGTTCTGGATGTACAGATGATTTGGTGGTTAGTTTTGGTTTCTAGGGTTGTTTTTTTTTTTAGAACAGATTAAAAATACATAATTACATGCCATTATTCAAAAAACTTAACTATGGAATTTCCATTTTCCCCACAGAAAGGGGAACCCCTGGTTACACGGATCATGGGTAGGGCTGGAGCCTTGCTTTGACTCTGAATTCTGAAGTACTTTGCATCTCCTAAAATGTAATAAAAACAGTCTCTTGACAATTCCAGGTTTTTAGTACAAGCTGTCCCTCTTCCTCTAGAGTAGCAACTTACATATGTAGTTCAGAGACTTTAATACCAATATATGGAATTTATCTACTTTATTTCTAGGAGAATATTCTGTCAGATAAAGGCCATAATTTACTGGGATATATGAAGAAGACTCGAGCATTTGGGTCTGGCTTTTTAGGAGACCTGAGAGACACCTTCTGCTGGTGGTTACGTACGAAAAGAGGGCACACAGAAGTTCGTGGGTGACCGATTAGATGCACATAAACCAAGCAAACCCACTCCTTTGTCACTTCACGCCACACCAAGTTCTGCAATTCAATATCAGTGCAGCCCTTTAAACACCGCTGCAAAAAAAAAAAAGGTAAAAAATAACAGGGAAAA